GCTCATTTTTGCAATGTTCCTCAGATGAAAGAAGGAAATTCTAGAAACCTCTTTGATATGATCAAATATTTATGGGAACAAGATTGTACAAGGCAGCTGACAGGATATAAGATTTATTTGTTTTCGTTAAGTTTATTATGAGCAGCAAATCACTTTATTTATTTTTACAGTAAATTAAGAACTCCTGAAATTATTTTCAGATTACGTTAATTCCGTGTGAATTTAAGATTAGTATTTACCTTGTGATGACAACCTGCTGAGACTACTGGCACAATCTGAAGCCATTCTATGGGACTGATGGCCTTTATTAGGATAACATCTGAAGCAGCTAAAAACAGCCACTTAATATTTACTTTGTTATGGAAGACTGAATCAAACTGAGGAGGAACCCATAATGATACACAGGTCCTACCTGTTGGAACAATGTTTTTATTCTTCATCTTCACCTGCTGACAGGTGATTTCACCAAAATAGATACATTGATCTACTACCTTTCAAATAAACCGATAATGTTGTTGTGGTCACAGCAGGTTATGGCAAGCCAGTTTGATATGTATTTGTTTGACTGAACATGTATTCCTGATATCTGGGGTGGGCCGTGTGGGGGGAGGGGGTATTGTAAAAATTATTATTTTTAAACAAAATTCTAGATTTTTCAGCATCTAGACTAAACATTCTGAATGTCTGGAAATGTATTTCCGATCAACATATTTGTATTGTTACCGGTCGGTATTTGAATTATTTTGATTATGAAGTAATGTATTTCAGATATCATAAATACATATTCAGTGAAGCGCATAAATATCAGAATGGCCACTTAAAATGAATAACCTTCTACACTACTTGCCCTTTCTTTCTGAAACTGAGTTTCTGCTGCAAAAAATTAATTTAGAAAATATTACAATTCAGTCTGCTTGTCATTTTTATCAGGAAGAATCTAATTTTAGTGATCTACAAATGGAACAACAGAGATGACAGTTCTTTTAATAAATTTCAAAACGACCTGCCATACAGGACTGAAACAGGCACTGCCTGTGGCCTGTCGTCATGGTGTCTCATTGAATCGGGATCTACTTAGAGTTGACTGAACTACTGTAGAGCAGCTGCTGTGAAACGGAAAACTCAGATATTCCAACCTTAGGCTATATCAATTCAGAGATGCAGATTTGAATGTGAGTTAAACCTGCGTTGGGAAACTGACCCCTGGTCCAAGATTTGCTAATCAGTTCTTCAAAAACAGACTATCTAATAGGACAGAAGCTGGTTCTTCATGTTCCTTCATGTTAAAAAGGATTTATTGCCACCCACTGTCGCCACACGCATGTCAAAATTCAGGTTGCTGAAAAGTTCTGCTGGGTTCCCTCAGGTTTCTGGTTCTGAATGTAATTGGACAACTGGGTTAAGATGAAAGTGAATAGAATCCAGATTCTACCTCAGGTCACATGAGCTGGACCTTTTGGTACAGAAAACCCATGAAGTGAATGATGTGACCTTTAATCCATGACCCTGACCTCTGATCCATAACCCCCACCTATGACCTGTGTTTCAGGAGCGTGTCAGAGCCCCTCCTCCAGGGCAGGTTGGTGATCTCGGTGCACAGATGTCTACCCGACTCCAGGTAACTGATAACCTACTGCTGCCGTCTCCTGGCAGGAGAAGGGCTGGAACCCAAAGCGTTCATTATGGTAGATGCACGGAAAATGAGCCATCCATCACAGCGTCTGTAGAGTTTATACTTGGCTTTCCTCCCGTCATGGCCGGCTCTGGGTGCTGTGTTCAGCACAAAGAGCGAGCTGACACCACCACACTACACAAGGACGTTAAAAAATGCAATTTGCAACTTTATTAAAGCCTCTTCATGCCATCCAGGAGCCACTGTCATTTCTTTCCTGGATTTTTTCCACAATCTGTTAATAGTGTTGATATTTATGGGCTAAATCACCGGATTGCTCCAGCAGGAGCTGGTGCTCGCTATGTTTTCCGTGCGGCTCCATCTGAGTAGTTCAAAATGTTCCTAGATGCTCCATGGGGACAGAATTTCCAAACGCAGCACCTAGGAAAATGTGTCCATCCAGAGGGGCATGGAAACCCAAAATGAAGGAATTTGGCTGCACAGACCTCGCGGTTTGTCACGCATAAACCAAGCTTAATAGCCGTCTCTAAATCTCCACAGGTGCAGCCAGCTGATTGGTTGTATGAGTTTTGGAATTGGATCCCTCATCAGATCTTCTCAGGTAAGTCTAAACCAGTCAGAGCAGGACATGCTGCTCCAGGATTGGCTGTAGATGTTTAGACACGCCTAATGATCCCCTCTGGTCCCGCCCCTCTCCATGTTGTCAGCTAATCACTGGTTGGTTCTACCTGCTGAGGGAAGAGATTGGACAGAGCAAACACATGAGGGTGACATCACAGAGAAACAGACCAAAGAAAAGCCACCTGGTAAAGCTGGAGCAGCAGGGGCTGGAGCCTAGAGGTAAGTCCATGTTGAGACTGCTCTGTGGTTGGCTGTTCCTCATGATGTGACCTTACTAACAGCTGATGGGTTGAGACTTGAGCCAATGAACTGACTTGATGTTCATTGGTGCAGTAGATGATCCAGAGCCAAGAGGATAAAACTGCTCCGCTTCCTCTAGACTGAAAAGTTTGTTTCAAGGTCTGGGTCTGCCATGGAATCGAGCTCCTCCAAGACTGATATGCCATGTTTACACCTTATCAGTTTAGCTAGCCAGTCTAACTTTTTCATATTAAAGGTCAATATTTCATGGCTATGGCTGTGTATAGCTCCCGGCAACCTGAAATTATTTCAAAAAAAGTATGTCGCCTAGCATCCACAAACTATATCAATCCATTAAATCAGTATTTGACCGCCAGCGCCTTCTGGAGTTACGGTCAAGTGTTTTCAAATTCATAAATACAACTACTCTTTTATTGTTTACGTAGCTTCAGATTGCTCCGGGCAAAAGTCTCAGAGGCCCTCAATGCCGTGGACTTGCAGATCAGGACACGCCGCAGGAGGAGGAGCAAGCAAAGAGGGTGTGGCTGGCGGCAAATGTGCGGCTGCAGAGGAGGGCTAACGGCAAAGCTAAAAGCAAACTCCTACAAACCGCCGCATCCTTCAGTCTTGCTTTCCAATGTCCGCTCACTTGACAACAAAATGGATCATCTTCAACTTGAACCCTCTTCAAAGAGTGAGTTTAGTATTGGCTGCGCTGTCATCCTGACCGAGACATGGCTTAACTCAACAATACCGGACAAAGCTGTTAGCCTGGACGGGCTCACATTATACTAGTCGACAGAAACAGCAAACTCAGCGGTAAGACCCAAGGAGGTGGTTTCTGTATTTACATCAACAACAACTGGTGCTAGATCAGTCTCCAGCTTCTGCTCTTCAGACTCCGAGTTTCAGACTGTTAACTGCAGGCCGTTCCATCTGCCCAGAGGGTTCAGTGTGGTTAGCATCACTGCTGTTTATGTGCCACCCAGCGCTAACACTAAAGAGGCCATGAAGATTCTATACCAGGCTATCTCTGAGCTCCAATCTGCACACAGAGGCTGTTTCCATCATTGCTGGGGATTTTAACCAGGTTAACTTGAAGACTATTTTCCTCATTTTAACCAACATTTGGACATTGCAACTGATTTAAGGAGAAGACCAAGGAGATCATGGTGGACTTCAGGAAGAAGCGGCCTAACCACGCTCCACTGCTCATCAACAGCTCAGCTGTAGAGGTGGTCAGCAGCACCACATTCATCACAGACACCCTCATTTGGACTGGAAACACCACCTCACTGGTCCAAAGGGCCCAGAAGCCCCCCCCC